GTCACATGTCTGATGCTAATGATCGACTCTGGCCGATGCTATAGTGTGGTATGTTATGGTGCTCTTTCGATGTCCCTAGCTGACTTGTCCTTCGCCAACACAAGCACCTGTTCATTTCTGGCGCCTTTGGCGACTCAGATCTCAGACCCAGTGAAAACGTGCAGAATTTCCTTGAAATTAGAACCTGTTAGTATATTTGCATGTATTTGCCTAACATTATTTCCGGCCACCTCGATGACAAAAGTCGCGCGTGACTTTGATTGTGTATCACAGCCCATCGAATGCATGCGCAAGACGGACTCGAATGCACGACCGTGACGCTCGCAATACGTCCTGGATGGACTGACAGCTCGGACAATTGTCCGCGGCGCGTCTGTGCATCTAGCTTGAGTCTTGCTTTGGCTAGTCAGTAGGGTGTGTGGGCAACGGGCGTGCAGGCGACGGGGGTGCGGGGGTGCGGGAGGGGCGGGAGAACAGGAAATAGAAGGAAATATGTTATAAAATGCGGGTAAATCATGTAAATACAGTGGCGAGTAGAAGGTAGAGGGAAAATGGAAGTAAATTCACCAGAATGCCAATAAATTCCTAGAGAAATGTGCAGGGCTACCGCGGGGACAATAAATACCATAATCGGAATGCACTGCTGCTGTCCCTGTGTACTATCACGACTGGTCGCAAGGTATACCACCGGCGACAGCCGGCGCTTCTCGAGTTGTCATGCGTCAGCAGCTTCTCATCATGCAAGACTGCGTCGGACGTACGAACTGGCAGTCGTGGTTCGCGTAGGGTCTAGCATGGGTATACCCGGGTTAACCCGTGGGTGTGCCCGCGGGCAAAGTGCTGGCGAGGACGGTGCCCGTACCCGACCCGGGCAAAGTGACATGGGTATGGGTAGACCCGTGGGTGTACCCATGGGTGCCCACGGGTACGTGTATTGTCAAGTACCTCTATCTCGTGCTGATAGTGTATAGGGTAAGAATTATATGCTATCATTTGCTTTTGCTTTGCCCTTCCCCCTCCCTTCGCATCTGCCTTATTACCTGCCTCAATCACTTGAGCAACAACTTCCCCATCGGATAACTGAGGGGTCTTGATCCATGAGCCTACTGCTACCTGGGCCTTGAATGATTGCAAGGACATATTATGCCGTAAGTGATTGAATGGAGTGGTACATATGCCAAGATGTCATCCAGCTTGTGGGCCAATGGAGGCATGATGAGTCTGTATGTACGGCTACCGCATCGGAAAGGCTAATGAAACTATGGATCGTAGATTGCGGTACGGGCGACGAAGGAGATGATGACGACGACGGCGTTGATAGTACAGACTGTACAGGAGTGAAGGTGGAGCGAACGGACGAGACTTGGACGAGACATTCGTTGCCAACACAGTCAGCACTCCAGATACAAGTAAATACAGGTAAATAGGTCCTCGGCCCACGGGTGACCCACGGTCTACCCACCCTAGCACTGGTCCTGCCCGTACCCGTCCCGGGTACAACGGATGGGTACCCATGATCCGTACGGGTACACCCGCACGGGTAAAGTACGGGTCGGGCGGTGGGTGTACCCGGGTAATGCCTGCCCGTGCCAGACCCTAGGTTCGCGGACATCCGAGTATAGACGGGTCACTTCGGAGAGTCTTCAGTTCCCGCTCGTCGCGCCTCGAGAGACACGCCCCACGTGACCAGCCCTCGGCCAACCGTCCCCTCCCTCCCCTCCAGCGCCTCCAAATATCTACACCACCGCGCACACACCATCGCCCACACGGCTGCTCCCTCACGCCCAGCGAGAATTCGCACCGGCTCCAAGTCCTGTGCAGCGATGACAGCGTCCAAGAACACGCCGGCGGCAGCTATTCTTGGCAGGCGCACCACCACGACGTCAGCACACCCCGCGCGCGGGCCTATAATCAAACGCAGATGTCTGGCCTCGCCGCCTTCTCTGTAAACGATGTCCTCCCTCTCTCCTTCCCCTTCGCCCTCTCCTAATCCTGTTGTGAACGAAAAGACGACGACGACGACGACGAGTAATGCTAATTCTATGAGTGGTAGGACGACGGCGGGAGAGGAGGGCGCGCGGAGGTTCTCGAGCGCAGAGTCGCAGAACACGGCGACGCCGATGGTGCGCGACATGCCGCCGCCGATAGCCTATGGCTTCATGCACCATCGAAATTCCGTGAGTCGGTCATTGCCAGGACAGAATTTCGGGAGACTGATATGGCCGTTTGCCCCGCAGATCCTTGCGTACGTGTTCTTCGTGCTTTTCTGCAACCTCGCGGCGCCGTGTATACTGTTCTACGTCCTGCGCGATTGTGAGTGGCTTCGTTTGGGCGTGAGGTGGAGGAAGGTGCTGATGGGTGGTGGTGTGCAGACACGAATTTGAGTATGCAGAACCTGATCGGCATATCCTCCGCCGCGCTGGGCCTCTCCTCCTGCTTCGACTCGCCCTTCCGCATGTGGAAACGTACGTCCCCCCTCTCCCCCGCCATCCCCTCTAACCCCTCCCTCCCTAGTCTGGAAACACTGGGACGAATACGGCCCGCTGGGCGACGACAAAAAGTGGCACCTCGACTCGTTCATGTGGATCTACTCCACCGCGCTGACGATCATGGCGATCCCGCTCGCCGTTGCGTCCGCGCTCGACCCGCCGCTCGAGGACTTCTTCCTCATGACGACGCCGATGCTCGTCGGCCCGCTCGGGCTCTGGTTCTTCTTCAGCCTCTACCCGTGGCGGCTGCCGTTCCGGATCAGCAGCGACCCCGCGGGGACGCGGATCAAGCCTGCGATTTTTTATATTATCGAGGACGTGGGCGCGGTCGACGCGCGGCACGGGCGGCCGTACCGCAAGGCGCTGCACGAGCGGTGCGTCGTGTCTTCTCTCCCCCCTTCCCCCCGCACCGTACTCACGCGCC